ACCACCCTCTGCTTCCAACCCTGTTATTCTGTGTTCTATGTTTTAAGTTTAATAAATGATGAAAAAAAAATCACACACGCTCAACCAGTGGTGTAATTCAAGTATTTTTACTACCGGTTCTGTGGGCATGGCTTGGTGGGTGTGGCTTGGCTTGGTAGGTGTGGCTTGGTGGGCATGGCAGAAGAAGAATATTGAAAAAACCCCATTCCCTCCTCACTCCAGGGGGAAGATTACTGCAAAATCCTCCCTCCCCACCCCAATAACCTGCTTTCCAGCTCTGTTCTCCTGCGCAGGGCAACAAAAGAAGACCCAGCTGATCAGCTGCGACTCGAGAGGCAGAGAAGAGATGGGAGTGGGGCCAGTCAGAGGTGGTATTCCAAACTACTCAAAATTTCCGCTACCAGTTCTTCAGAACTTGTCAGAACTTGCTGAATACCACCTCTGACGCACACAGACACCTCTAAACTTTTCTCCTGCTTGACGGCCATAAGAACAGTCTGGAGAACTGTGGCCATCTTGTTACCAAGGCTAAAGAAGAATTTGCATGGTCCCTTTCGTTTTTGATTTATACTCCTCTGTCAGCAGTTACCAAGGCAGCATAATGGGGTAGAAATGAAAATGCGCTCTCCAATGTTCACTCTGTAATCATGGACACTTCCTTTTCTTCTCTTTCTCTCTTCACCTCAGCTAGAAAATGTAATAAGTAGTGTTTGTATAGCTTGTCTGTCAGCCATTCTCTCTCTTTTCCCCCCTCAGCTAAGCAGTTGCTGGCTGTTCAAAACCAAGCAGTGTTTGGGAAGGCAAACAGCCTGGAGATAAACATTACTTACTGATAGATGGGCAGCAATAACTGTCCAGATCTATGAAGGCCACAGTGGAGCTGGAACTTCAGGTGCTACGTGTTTACAATTATCCACTATTCTCCTCTACCCTCCAGTGGTTTGTGTAGATAAAATGTAGGAAGAATGGTTGGCTAAAATGTAGGCTAAAACATAGGAAGACCAATTACAGGAATTGGGTATATCTAGTTTAATGAACAGAAGGACCAGGAATGATATGATAGTGACATTCCAATATTGAGAAGCTGCCACAAAGAAGAAGGGGCTCAATCTATCAGCAATTTTTCTCCATTTTTTAACAGTATAATAAAGTTGGAAGGGCTCTTGGAGGTCTTCTAGTCCAACTCCTTGCTCAGGCAGGAAACCCTATACTATTTCAAACAAATGGTTGTCCAATCTCTTCTTTAAAACTTCCAGTGTTGGAGCATTCACAACTTCTGGAGGCAAGTTGTCCCACTGATTAATTGTTCTGTCAGGCAATTTCTCTTTAGTTCTAGGTTGCTTCTTTCCTTGATTAGTTTCCACCCATTGCTTTTTGTCCTGCCTTCAGGTGCTACGGAGGTACAATATATTTGTTATGTCTGTGCAGTTGCAGACACAGAATAGCCTGCCGTTAGTAGCACAAGGAAATACAGTTACTTAATTGGCTAACGGTATGGCAGGCAGCCGCTATATAAGGGAACCTGCCAGTCGTTAGCCCTGTTAATATTGCAGTTGGAATTGAGTACTTACCAGTAAACTGTGGATTGCGGATCCTTGTCTCTGGTTCCTTCCTTCCCACGACACAAAACCATTAATATGCTTATAGAATATAAAATGATCGATGACTCAGAGTCAGATGTTGGGCCTCTCAGGTTAGATGGCACCCAATATGCTACTAAAGAACAGCTGAGGATCTTTCGGAGTACTAATGGCGTCATGAGGTAACTAGATTAAAGTCTTCAGGATGTCTTCCATTCCCGTTCAGTCAATCAGAACTAGAGAAGCTTCTTGGATGAGAAGTGAAACATTTTCAAAGAAAAAATCAAAGTAGTCCAACTGCCTTTTGAAAAAAAGCAGCTTTGGGGTGCTTAGTTGCTGATGTTGCCATACAGTGAACACTGATAAACCAAGGATTAATGCAGAAGAAGTGGAGGAGTTGAAAGTTTTATGATCAAGTTTAATTTGAAATGGATAGGGCCTACAAGCAAGATGTGCAAGGCAGAACGTGGTGAAACATACTGGCTCTAGGTTCAGTGATGGGATTCAAAAAATTTTACTACTGGTTCTGTGGGCGTGGCTTGGTGGGCGTGGTGTGGCTTGGTGGGCGTGGCAGGGGAAGGATACTGCAAAATCTCCATTCCCACTCACTCCTGGGAGAAGGTTACCGCCGGTTTTCCAAACTACTCAAAATTTCCACTACCGGTTGTCCAGAACTGGTCAGAACTTACTGAATACCACATCTGTCCAGGTTGGAAAAACAGGGAGATAAGACTGTATACTTTCTCCACATTTTCACCTGATGTGCTCAGTGTATACTGAGGAAGGGTGGATTGGAATAAGACTTTTAGATGGGTTTAAAATTGGAACAAGCATCAATAATGCCACCTTGATAGCTGAAAAAGCAAAGAATCTGCAATAATAGTAATACAATTCAAGAAACACAGTGAAAAAATGGGTGTAAAATTCAATACAAAGGAGACTAAACTAATGACACAGCAGGAATAGGTACAACAACCAGCCTTAAAACTGATAATGAAGATATTGAAGTGGTAAGTAGCTTCTGCCTTTTAGGATCAACCACCAACAGTTACTAGTAGTAATATGTGGCTGTGAGAGTTGGACCATAAGGAAGGATGAGTGCCGAAGACTTGAAGCTTTAAAATTGTGGTGCTGGATCAGTCTATGCTAAAGGAAATCAATCCTGACTGTTCTTTGGAAGGACAGTAGTGTTCTGGATCTCTTTTGTTGTTGTTGTTGTTATAGTTTTTGTTTACTTTCTACCTCAAAATCAGAATAAATCTTTTGGTCTGCCAATTTTGGATTCTCATATCTTTACAACGCAGAGAAATACATGTTTAAAAGTCTCCAGAGGCATAAAAATTGGTTAGGGAGTATCAGGTGTTCTGGAACATAGTTGTCCGATTCCTGTATACGATTATTTGTGCTGTATTATGCAATGAAGATAAAAATCATTTAGAATTTCACCTCTTAAATATTAGCCTTTCAATAGCCTTTGCATTGAAGTACCCACTAGTTAATGCCTTGTCACTATTTATCAGTTTGACTACAGCTCCTTAATACAATTTGCCTTCCTAAAAAATTTAAACCAGTTACCTTAAGGCACTCCTTTGGTATTATGCTTCTGTGTTTTTAAATACAGTGTGTCTTTCCTTTAGAAACCTCTCACTTCTGGAAAGTAATCAGGCAACAGAATAACATGAGTACTAAGCAAAAATCTATCCACCTACAAAAAAACAAACGTGTTTAAAACTAATGACACAAAACAATTCATGTGAATCAAATTTCCAGTTATATTCTCACCTTATTGAAATTACTAGATTTTTATTGTAATTATTAGATTTTTATCCCACCTTTATGTATATATAACTCAAAGCAGTGAATATACCTAATACTATTTTCCCCCAAACAACAAACTTGGGTTGGGCTGAGAAAATGCCACTGGCTCAAAGTCATTGAAAATCACTGTTAGACATGGCTACAACGTTTTTGTGGTGTGGCACTTGCAATGATCTTCAAAATTCATCCAATTGTGATTCAGGTTGTTGTGCTGTTGAAAGGCTGGAAAATGCCTTTCCTTTGAGGATTCGGTTTTCCTGCTGGGAGTGCTCCAGTACAAGGACACAGACAACTACTTGGAAGCTGGTTTATTCTTCAGGAAGGCAAGAGATAGCAAGAAGTCTGCGTTCCTGGGGCTAGCCATCTTTGTGTAATAAACTCCTGATTTTTATACCTTTTCTCCTTTTGTGTGTGAGTGCTTGTGTTTGTATTTCTTAATGTTTTAAATCCTGTCAGGGGGTTGTCTTCATTTCTGCCAGAGGGTAAACTCTGCGGGGTGGTTTGATTGGATTATCAGTTTCATCCTAATGTTTTCTTATATTTGTTTGGTGGCAATCTCCTGTCTGCTATGGGATTTATTTCATATCTTTTTGTCTATTTGTTTTGCTGATTTGGCATGACCTTTTGTTTGTAAGGGATTTCTTTTTCTTGTTTCCCTAGCTTTCTTAATTACTTGGCTTTTGTCTAGGGGGCTTCTTTCAATACCTTTTATCAAATCTCTTTTCCTATGCAAGTTTGTTTTATGGCTGGCCTGATGTTCCCTTTGGGCTTTTCCTGCTTGGGTATCACCACTGTCCTCATGAAGTTCCCTTTCCACAGTGCAATAGCAGAAAATAGATAAGCTCACTGCCCAAGTGAAGTATACAAGCAAACACAATCATGGTGTGAGTGGAGGAATTAAAAGGAATTATAAATCAAACTTTTCTGAGTTATGCTTCAAGGCACTTGTGTTCTCAATTAACTACTGTCTTCAACCCTGGATAAAATACTAAGCCAAATAAAATCAAATAATGAAATAATGTAATACACACGTTCATATAACTTATTAAGACAAAAGCCGGCTTTTCCACAACTCACAACAAACCTAACCATCCTAAATTTGCAAGTTCAAATACTCAGAGTCTATTTATAGCATTTTCTCTGCAGACACTTCTTAGCTCCATCAGCCTTCCACATCTTTGCCACGCCTACTCTCCCTTCACTCATCTCGACTAAGCCCCTCCCTTTCTTTTCTCCAATCAACAATGTACACGGGTAGAAGAACCTCACAAATAGTTAGTTGCCGTCCCAATAGCCCGACAGAAGAATTCGAATTAATCAGTTCAGAAAAGTTTCTCAGACTCTCTCCTTTTCTATCAGACTTCAGTGACTTTAAAAAAGAAAACTTTACCGCACCGAGGAAGACGTTTCCCTCCTTACGAAAAGATAATAGTTCAGGCCAAAGAGTAAGACACCAAAGTGGAAAATGGAAAGGCCCGCCTTGTGCTTTCCGATGCATTCTGGGACGGGTAGTTTTCCAAAACTTCAGAGCTCATCTTCGAGAGGCGCGAGTGCGGCGAGGAGGAGACTACAACTCCCAGATGCCCACTAGGCCAAATCTGTGGCTCTGTGGACCCCGCGAGCAGCACCGGGGAATGGGAATAGGCTTTGAGACACTGAAGGCGGCAAAGCGCGACGTCCGCAGCGGTGGCACCTGCTTGTCCGCGGCTGGCTGGATCGGGAGGCGGGAAAGCGGGGCTGGTGGCGCCGCCTTGGGCTGGTAGGGGGACGAGTAGAAGCTCCGACCCAGGTTGCCCTCCTTTGTTGCAGGTGGAAGAAGAGCAAGGGGGAGAAAGGTGAGCGGAGCAGGTGGCTGGCTAGGCTGGGCATGAAGGGTCGCGGGGTGCTTTGAGCCGGGGCTGGGAGGATGGGGAGATCTGCTTCCTTTTAGGGAAGCCCTGGACTGAGTTCTCCCTGCTTTTTCTGCCCAAGCTCAACCTGCCATAGGTGGAATCTTTGGGACGGGATGGGCAGCGGTCCATGGGACCTTCTGGAGAGGTTAGCTGGGGATGCAGATAAACACAAGTTATAACACAGTTGGAAGGGACCTTGTAGGTCATCTAGTCCAACCCGCCCATCCAAGCAGAGCCGACACCATTTTTTGACAGATGGCAGTCCAATCTCTTCTTGAAAGCCTCCAGGGATGAAACTGCCACAACTTCCGAAGGCAACTTCTATTCCACTGGCTGATTGTCCTCACTGTCAGAAAAAATTCTCCTTATTTCCAGGTTGAATCTCTCCTTGATCAGTTTCCATCCCTTATTCCTTGTCTGGTGCTTTAGAAAATATCTTGACCCCTTCCTCTCTGTGGCAGCCTCTCAGATATTGGAACACTGTTATCATGTCTCCCCCGGTGCTTCTCTTCCTTAGCCATGCCCGGTTCCTGCAACCGTTCATTGTATGTTTTAACCTCCAGTCCCCTAATGGGACAATGGGAAATTAGTGGGTGTGGAGCCCTTGGTGCTCTCCGAACTGGGTGCTTGTGCTTGCAGACGTTGCATTGCCAACTAGGATGTGCTTAATTCCGATTTCGCACTCAAGTGAGCTCTATCCCTGAAGAAGCTTCTGTATGAGAAGCAAAACATCCAGAAAGCCCAGCTGCTTCTTGAAAAAAAGCTCCTTTGGGTCTACCCCAATAGATCAGGCCCTGATAAATGGGGGGTTTTCTGGTGCTACCTCTCCCCCCAAAATGGTCAGTGGCCCAGGCTTTGGATGCTGCTGCTGAATTTCAGGTAGGCTTGCAATAAGACCATCCTCACCTGTGACTTGATTGCATAGGAAAAGGCTGGCCGGGCATGGTCCCAGAAGTTCTTGGGAGCAAACTATGAAAAACTTTCCAAAAAAGCATATTCTAATAAAAGTGTCAAAAATCAAATGATACATTTTAAAAATTCAATCCAGTTTACATATCTTTCTCACAGGGATGTGAAAGACTGTGCATTAAATGGCACCATGTAAAAATTCAGCCACCAAATTAAAGCACATGTGATGTGTCATCACTTTGCCTTTGAAGGCTCTATAAATGTGGCTTCCTCTCCTTACTGATGGCTGGTCTGCCTGAACGCCAAGCTTCCGTGAATTCCCTGGCATTCGTGGACTTAGCTTGATGTCATGAATGTTGGGTAATGAAATGTCTGCAAGTTGGTAGTTCAGCTCAGAGCACACCAAGATCTCCCCAATTCAACCCTGAGTTGCAGATATTCTCTTTTACTGAAACTAATGCAGCTCCCATTGCAGCTCACTGAAGCAGGTGACTGAACTGACCCAATATTTGGCTTTGTACAAGGGACTGAATCATACCTTTCTCAAACAGGTGGGGCACCTGGCCCCATCACCCAGAGCGCAGTGAAGGAAGCAACAATTCTACAGACATCCACCCGGAATTTTAAAGAAATTAGGGTAAGGATTCCCCCTTCCAAAATTTCAGGAATCTTCAAACTTCTCTTGCTGCCTCATTTAAGTTTTGAATCTTTTCTTGAATTTCTTGTAACCCAGATTAAACTGTCGTTTAGTTATTTTGCCCACCAAATGGAGAGAGAATGTGAGATAACTACCGTACTAACAAACTATTCTTCCTTTTGTTGATTGTTCTTCTCATTTTTTTCTCTCAGTCTCTCCTGCAAACTTTCACACTGGTTTTCTACAATGTGCCATACCCCAGAAAATCTCAAACAAGTTTAACCTTTAAGTTAAGCATGTTAAATAAATGGTTGGTCTAACCACCAAATTAAATGCATTGTCTAAACCCAGCCATAGTGTCTTCAGTGCTGAGATCCTGCAAGATTTGACTGGGATTTGAGTAGACTGCATTGTCCTGTGGTTTGCTTATGGAAAGTTTGTGAATTCAGCCAGTTAGCATCTGTTCAGTAACGGATTAAGCAAGCCTTTTTCACAGTCTATAGATATATACCATTAGCATTTGTATCTGTTACATCAGACACTGCGCTTAAATTGTGTAATCTGTAGGAAGCCTGGTATGCTCGATTGTGCTCGATTCATTGACAAGATTCAGGTATACATTAACTGGGCATTTTATATATACAGTTGAATTTATTTTACGACCATTGGGATTAAATTCAATCCACTATCTGAGGTCTTGGAAACCATGATTTGATTTCTGAACAGAATTACTTCTGCAGCTTTTTCCAGCTGCTTAGCTTTATGTTAGAAAAAGTTCTGAGTCTGTGTATCCATAACTTTGTTTTAGCCTATGTTGCAAAGGCATTTGCCTTCTGGTTGAGCTCCTTCTGCCTTGTTATCTCTTATTAAAAGTGTTTCCATGCAACAAATTTGGGAAACAACTAAAGAGCTGGTGGCAGTTAAAATAATACTGGGATATGTTCACTGGAGCCTCTCACGATATAAAGTGACTTCATATCTCCATTTAGAAAATTCTCTGTCAAAGCTGAATGTCTGATATTGGGCTCTTTATAATGGTTCCTCATTGCTTCGACACCATGGAATGTACTTCCCTTCAGAAGAGCATTACAGTTTATTCCTGTTCTCCTTCCTCTTGCAAAGAGTTAATATATATTCGTTTTTTTCCAGATTACTAATAAAGCTTGTTATATGAGCACAACGTATTACTTTTTTTTTGTTCAAAGTGGTATGTGTTAATGGCCGAAAGAACTGCAGTAAAAATCCTTCTCCAGTCTGGCCCTTTATAGATCAGTGGACATTAATTTCTGAATAACTCTGTACTTAGCTTGGCCAGTGTTTTTTTATTTTATTTTATTTTATTATTTTATTCATTTTTATAATTATTATTCACACTTTTTAATGGCCCATATATATTGCCTCACAATCTAGAGGCTGTGAGTTCCATCCTAGGTAGAGGCAGATATTTCTCTCTCTGGGCACAATGAGAATATATCTGCTGAACAAAACACTGCATTGGCAACAGGAAGGGCAACCGGCCAGTAAACACTCAGCTCCATTCAGTTGCCCACACTCCACCACACAATGGATCATTAAAAAAGAAGATTATGCTGTATAAGCTAAAAATTTGGGAGGAGGCAAGAGTGATTAAATACTATTAAACTAGTAATAGTAAAAGGCAAGGGGAGTGATTTCAGAGGACTAACCAGCCCCATGGCTGGGTGTTCCTCTGGGCTCCCCACACGAGGCCACAGGGCCATGTTTTAACTCCTTTACATGTCATGGGGGGGGGGGGAGATAATCTGCCACATGACAAGGGCTCTCATCCTAGATCCCGCCAGTCAGAGTTCTTTAACTGATGGGCTCTGCAGCATACTTTCCCTGCCTGACCAGGTGGGATGATTGATATAACGGGGACAAAGATGGTTCTGCAGATAACCAGGCCCTTGCCATGTGGGGTTTTATAAGTCGCAACCAACACATTGTATTGGACCCAGAAGCAAACTGGCTCCCAGTGCAGTCCCCTCCCAAGGCATCTCCACGGGGCTTCCACCATGCTTGCTATTCAACTGGGATCGAATCAGAGTAATTTTATCCCTCAGATCAGGGGTTGCTGGGGGTTTGCAGGAGTTCAGGAGAGCCCCTAGCAAAGATTCTGTGCGGTTCGTAGAACTCCCAAATCCCACTCCTGGATGGCCCCAACCACCCCGCCCCTCCCAGGAGTCGCCATGTGGGATGTTTTAGATGCAGGGCGCACGCAGAGGCTCGGAGAGGAGGAAAACAGGCCTACTGGAAGTTTGGGAAGGCCAGAAAGGGGCCTGTTTCCGGCTTCCAGAGAGCCTCTGGAATCCAAGGAGGCTGTTTTTGCCGTCCCGGAGGCTTGAGGAAAGGCTCCGGAGCCCAGGGAGGGCAAAAACAACACCACACCCGCCGCGGTGGTGCAGGAGGCCGACTAGGCCACGCCCACCATGGCCACGCCCACCCAGTAACTGGGCAGAGAACCCTTTGCTAAAATTTTTGAAGCCCACCTGCCTCAGATGGACAAAAAAAATTCACTGCATGGCCCTGTAGATCGACCTTCCCCTTCCCGAGAAGACTCTAAGCAGGGCCACTGGGTGACACTCCCATTAAGAACAGAGGCGTGTTGACTGGAATTTTAAGATGTAGGAAATATATCCATAAGGCAGCAGCTCGGAAGAGGCTACTGTAAGGAATAAGGCTACTTCCAGCTTAATCTAAAAATAATAAAATAGGTGGAAGGGATTGAGGCTGAGCGGTACGACTGAAATTCTACCAATGCAGTCGATAACTGTTAGAGGTGCCAACTCTCGTACTCTGTTTATGACAATTTGGCTGACTTTTGGCACCACCCGTTGATTGTGTGAGAAACCCCTTGGCATTTTTACACTCACTCCAGTTTAAGAATAAGATCTTTGTTTTCTTTCCTTAATAGCTCTCAAAATGGATATTTTCGGGGACCTGCGGCGAATGAACAAGCGCCAGGTAAAAGAGGAGTACGGTTTGTTTTGCGATGTCAGCTTGTGAGCTTGTTTGTATCAAAATCGCTTGTATCCACGGTCTGAATCGATTTAATGAAATGGATGTCTTATACAGGTGGTCCCTGCTTAATGACCATTCTTTCAGCAACTCTTTGAAGTTACAATAGAGACAGAAGATCCAATCTCTATCATTGTTAAGCCAGGACTACCTGTACTGTTTTGAAACATGTATACCTTGAAATCAGCAGTCTTGGACACAAAGACTTCTGTATTTTTTTTTAAAAAAAATAAGAGACATTATTTTTCAGTCAGAAGTACAAGTGTGGTAGATTTGGTTATTTTTAGTACAAGCAAAAAAAAAGCCTTCTTCAGAGCATTAAAACATCTGGGGTTTTTTTGGAAGATGCATTATTATTGCAAGTTGAACTAGCAAGGCATTTCCATGTGTTAGCAATTTTACCTGCTGAATCTTTCAGATGTTGAACTTCCTTTTGGCATGTTGTGTCATTTTTGTTCCTTCAAGGAGAGGCAGAAAGAAAGGTTGCCCTACATAAATCTTGATGTCTTGAAACAGAAAAGCCGCAAATTGAAAAAAGATCGGATTTTGGATGCTTCTAGAAACTCATTTTTCCCCCTCTCCCATATTTACAGTCTATGTCCTATGTTATTTCCCCTTTTTGTATTTTTTTTAAAAAGCACTTGTCTTTTAATGTAAACAAAAACAAAAACAATTTAAATCTGGTATTCCTCAAACTTGGCAATTTCAAGAACTCCCAGTGGCATTCACAGGGCTGAGTCCCAAGATGAGATGGTAGAAGCAGCACTATGACATAAGGATGTGCATCACAGAGCTGTGTCTGCCATCTTGACTTTTTTTGACTCCCTACGCAGATACCTTGTCCCAAAGCTGAGGGAAAGTACATGCTGGCCCCATCCACTTTCAATTGTTATCCTTCCCCCTGACTATCCCTAAAATAGTGGATCAGTTGTTTTTGTGGTGTGGAGGCTATAACTTGGTCCTCAACACCAATAAGACCAAGGAGCTTATAGTGGACTATAGAAAGAACAGCCCTTGCTTATCAATGGAGACCAAGTGGAGCAAGTGGCCAGTTTTAAGTTTCTGGGTGTTACCATAAAAGAGGATCTGACCTGGGGTGCCCACATTGCAGCCCAGGTCAAAAGGGCCCAGCAGAGATTATACTACCTGAGACTTCTCAGGAAACAACAACTGAATGAAAAGCTGCTGGTGACCTTCTACCGCTGCACCATAGAGAGTATCTTAACTTACTGCACCTCTATGGTTTGCCAATTGCACAGTGGCAGATTGGACAGCACTCCAGAGGGTTAATGTCATTGCCCAGAGGATCATTGGTTGCCCTCTCCCCTCTTTGGAAGAGCTTTATAGCTCCTGCTGCCCTAAGAAAGTTCAAAACATTATTAAACATCCATCTTATCCCGGGCACCCTTTTTTCGAACTATTACCATCTGGCAGACGGTACAGGATAATAAAAACAAGGACAAATTGACTGAAAAACAGCTTTTATCCCAGGGCAGTAACTCTATTGAATTCTATTGTATGGTGCAATGTTAATACAATGCCAAGGGTTTTCAATGCACTGTGAGGAGTGTGAAGGATGTGTGTTTGTGTTTATTTTCATAGTATTTAATTTTGTTGTACGAGGTGCAATGACAATAAAGTAAACTAAACTAAGATTGACCTTATGTTAGTTAGATCAATATAGGCAGGCTGCAGACTTCATGCCTTCCCTGGGCACATGCGTGCAGAACTGCCTGAACATCCTGAAATCAGCACTGTTTTGGGCAACACAGATTTCCACTTAAAGTTAATAATAGATGGGTTGGATTGGAAGTGCAGTAGCAATGTATAAAGTGTGGAGTCCTTGGTGCTCTCTGAACGTGGTTGTTTGCTTGTAACGTTGTGGGAAGCTCGTGAGCGTGGAGTTTTCTCTTTGTTTATATGCAGTAGCTTGCCCTGCCAATGTTGCTGGGCATGTGGTTTTCTTCTTGCTAAGGTATTGTTTTCTGCTTGATTTTTTGTTTCTGTGATAGTTTCTTGATTAGGGTAATTGTTTTGTCTGGTATTGATATCTGCTTATCTAGGGGTTAGCTGCTGAAGAGGATGTGTTCTGATCTTTTTGTTTACTTCTTAACCTTCTTATTGTCTCTTTGGAATGATGTGTAAATACGGCTTATCTCCATGTGTCTATTGATGGCTGATTGGTCTGAGTGACCCGCTTCCAGGAATTCCCTAGTGTTTTTGCATTTAGCTTGGTTTTCGTCTCTAGGATGTTCGCAATTTCCCAGTTGACGCTGTGGTTAAATCTGTCCATGTGCTGTGAAATTAAGGAGTTTTCATTGTGTCCTCTGACTGCTAATTGGCGTTCATGGATGATTAGCTCTGCTAATCTTCTGTTTGTCCTGCATAGTGGCTGATATGGTCGTTCCACTTTATGATGAGTCCTGTTCTTTTTCTTCTTGGTCTCGGTCTACTGGCTTGGGGTGGGTAGGGATGGCAGGAGGGACTTGGCTTGTGTGTTATGGTGATGGTTGTGGTTGTACAGGTAGTCCTCCATTTACGACCATAATGGAGCCCAGAATTTCTGTTCCTAAGAGTGACATTTGCTAAGGCAGTCTTGCCTCGTTGTACGACCTTTCTTGCCACAGCTGTTAAGTGAATCACTGCAGTTGTTAGGTTGGAAACCACACTTGTCAAGTGAATCTGGCTTCCCCACTGACTTCACTCGCCAGAAAGTCACAAAAATCACATGACCCTGGGACACTGCAACGGTCATAAATATGGCTCAGTTTGCCAAGTGTCTGAATTTTGATCCCATGACCATGGGGATGCTATAATGGTGGTGAGTGTGAAAAAAGCATCACTCTCTTGTCACTTTGAACGGTCACTAAATGAACTGTTGTAAATCGAGGAGTGCCTGTATTATACGTACATCTGCAAGCAAACCACCGAGTTCAGAGAGCGCCAAGGACTCCAACCCTGAGCTAAATGTATTCTTTCAATTGGTAATAAGTAGTGTGAATATACTTGTCTGCTGTAGCAGGGGTCTCCAACCTTGGCAACTTTAAGAGTTGCGGACTTCAACTTGCAGAGCTTTGCTGGCTGAGGAACTCTGGGAGTTGAAGTCCGCAAGTCTTAAAGTTGAAGTCCACAAGTTTTAAAGTTGCCAAGGTTGGAGACTCCTGTGCTATACCACCTCTAACCCTGCAAAGGTCTCCAACACTCAGGAAGTGTGAGGTTTTTTTTTTTAATTTTCAGAGTCAGTTCTGGTGAGGATCGTGTACCTTTTTATGAGTAGGTACAAATGCGTGGCCATGAGCTGGTGCTAAATAGCCTTTTAACAACTTGATCAGAGCCACAGTGGCACAGTGATTGTGTTGCTTGGTGACCATGGGCTATACCTACGTGCGCATGCACGCACATACACAAGGCCATCATGTATGGAACTACAACAAAATGGATTCAGTGCAAAGAAGAAAGAAGTTCAGAAAGGCTGAATATTGCACATCAGGACACGGAGACAATGTTGTGGTGGTGGTTGCAAACTCCAGCAATAAGAACTACCCATCGTGTGTGGATATATTTCAAGAACTACCCATAATAGAGCCGCGGTGGCACGGTGGTTAGAGTGCAGTACTGCAAGCTACTTCTGCTTGACTGCCGGCCGCCTGCAATTTGGCAGATCAAATCCCACCAGGCTCAAGGTTGGCTCAGCCTTCCATCCTTCCGAGGTGGGTAAAATGAGGAACCAGATTGTTGGGGGCAAGAGGCTGATTCTGTAAACCCGCTTAGAGAGGGCTGTGAAAGCACCGTGAAGCAGTATATAAGTCTTAAGCGCTATTGCTATTGTAAATCGATGGGTCTGTTTTTAGCCTTCTACTGGGCTAGTACTGGGAGGCAATAAATATGTTTCCCTTATTAGCCATTTATTTGGTTTTTTTAAACAAAACTGGGCCACCTCTTGGCATGGAGCTTTGCCCTGCTACCCCATGCGGACAAGAAAGGCTGAATGCCGTGTTTTTCCCGTGTGTTGATTTCCTTCATGCCTCTTCAGCTGCTGTGCTGTTTTTCTTGTTGACCGGTTTTGGATTGCCCTACTTCGCATGCATACCCACCATACTGTTGCCCTCATTATACAACTGCGGCACCCTGGGAAGAGTGACTGTTCTGAGGGAAGAAACAGGTGCCGATCAAACGTAAAAATGATAAAATATCTACTTATGCCCCTGTTCTGCCTGAAACCCTTTGTCACTCGACCCCCTTGCTTGTTGTTCTGTTGAGGCAGTCGGGTGTAACTGCTTAAAACATGTGAAACGTGCTGAGCTTGTCAGCTGGAAAGCTGAGAGCACAGGCTCAGCACCCGAGCATTGCACGATGGGGTGAGCGCCTCTGTTACTTGCCCCAGTTCCTGCCCACCTAGCAGTTCGAAAGCATGCAAATGCGAGTAGAGGAGTAGGTACCACTTCGCGGGGAAGGTAACAATGTCCCATGCACCTTGGCATATAGTGATGCAGGATTCAAACAAACCTGGTTCCAGCTAAGAAACAGCGATGAGCACTATTCCGTAGAGTCAGACATGACTGGACAGGGGAAACTTTGGACGGTGCAGTTTTTTTCTTATCAGTTCTAATTATGATAGTTGAGTTTAGTTCAGTTTAGTTCAGTTTACTTTAGTTCAGTTTAGTTCAGTTTAATTCAGTTTACTTTATTGTCATTGCACATCGTACAACGAAATTAAATACCATCTTCAGTGTACTACTATACAGTAGAATTCAGTAGAGCTACTGCCCTGGGAAAGAAGCTGTGTTCAGCCTATTTGTCCTTGTTTTTATTATCCTGTACCATCTGCCAGATGGCAATAGTTCAAAAAAAGAGTTCCCAGGATGAGATGGATCTTTGAGAATGTGTTGAACTTTCTTAGGCCAGCGGGAGCTATAAAGCTCTTCCAAAGAGGGGAGAGGGCAACCCGTGATCTTCTGGGCAATGACATTAACTCTCTGGAGAGCTTTCCTATCTGCCACTGTGCAATTGGCAAACCATACAGAGGTGCAGTAAAGATACTCTCTATGGTGCAGCGGTAGAAGGTCACCAGCAATTTTTCATTCAATTGTTGTTTTCTGGGAAGCCTCAGGTAGTATAATCTCTGCTGGGCCCTTTTGACCAGGTCTGCAATGTGAGCACCCCAGGTCGGGTCCTCTTTTATGGTAACACCCAGAAACTTAAAACTGGCTATTTGCTCCACTCGGTCTCCATTGATAAGCTAGATAGATGCAAATACATGGTCTTTTGACTTATAGATCCACTAGAAACCTGAAGGGGCACTACACCAAATAATAAAACCAGCTTCCCTGTTCTCAAAACTCATTAACATCTATTAGATCTACTTTTCATGTCCAAGTTAATGTTCTTCACTATTTTAGTTGAGGTTCCTTTCTTTAAAGCTACTACGGTCTTTTGTTGATGGTGTGTGGGTGAAAGTTAAATTTGTATCTAATTAAATGTGGAGATGTTCTGTGATTTCCTATAAAATCATAAAACGAGCACCGTGACTCTTGAAATAATAACCGCAACAATGGTGATTATATGATCAAAGACCATATATATGAGATTTACTCTTTTCATTCTGCTCTTTTCTTGCAGCTCTATTACCAAGTTTTAAATTTTGCCATGATCGTGTCGTCAGCCCTGATGATATGGAAAGGCCTTATTGTTATCACCGGGAGTGAGAGTCCAATTGTAGTAGTGCTCAGGTAGGTCTCTTTGTAAAGAATTTGTTAGCAGGGGTAGTCTGCAGCCCTCAATTTTTGTCTCATCCCTGTCCCAAATGGGGAATAGGGAAAGAGAAAGTGAGTGGGAGGTTGTGATTTTATAACCATCATTGCTTTAATAAATTCCCTCTAGGATAAGATGTGTTATGAAATTTGATTAGGTCGTAGTAAGCTAGCTATTCCCTTTTGATCTTCTTCCTGTGAAAAGCTTTTAGTGTATAAGCAGCCTTATTAGTCAACAACACATGTGTATTCTTTTATATGTGATAAGGGCAGACTGAGAAACCAGGCACAATTCTTGTTTATAGGTTCACACCCTAAGCTACACATGTTAAAAATAAGTATTTTTGAGGTTGTTGGTACTTTTTGAACTTGGTTACTTTTGTTCTGCCCGAGGCTTCCAAGACCATAATTAAGCACATGCTTAATTAAAACACCTTTTGTTTTATTTCAACGCTGGGAATTATGTTCATTCCCAGCCTGTAATGAGTCCCAAACAGTCCCTCGAGATAAGCACTCACCTTTCTCTCCTTTGAATTGCTGCCAACAACTAAAGTGCCAAATGAACTATAAAAAAAACCAACCGAAGGACAAAGTCCACACAGAACTTCAAGGATTAATCCAAACAGAATGAACGACTTTGCTTCCTACAAAGGTTTCTTCACCTTTGCCTGCCCTGTATATCTTATGAGAGGGGCAATCACCTCCCAGCCTTACTCCCGAGTTGCCCCTTTTGTCTCAGCTGCTCTTGCCTTCCAGCAGCTCTGTGCATACGCACACCAGGAACAGGCTACCTTGGTTCCTCGGCCTCGCTGCTGCCAGACTCCAGAGGCTGCGGAATCAGCACCCCATTCCCTGATGGTCCTGGCCCACCTCTGCATCGGGCACAGGACCCTCGTCCGAGTCCTCTTCAGACTCTCGGACTAGTCCTCGTTTTTCCCCACTGTCTGATTCTGCTGCCATCTGCACAGGCTGCCGGCGAACCACAACAGCTTTCCTGCAGAGATTTCATTACAAGCGTGGATAACATCATCATTGATGTTGGTTGAAACTGACTAAACTGAGAGAACACTCTCAAGAACCCAACGGTTTAACCCAGTTCCACATATATTCTCTACTATTGAAATAAGCATTTATTGAACTTTTCCAATAATGTACTATGACGGTGGGCTCCTATAGGTAAAAATTTTAGGGGAGGCGCGATGGCTCATCAGTTAAAGACACGGAGTTTGTCGGAAAGCTGACAGCCCAAGTTCAAGACCCAACCACTGCGCAACGGGTGAGCTTCTGTTACATGCCCCATCTCCTGCCCACCTAGCAGTTCAAAAGCATGCAAATGCAAGTACATCAATAGGTACCACTTGGATTGGAAGGTAACAGGGTTCTGTGCGCTTCGGCATATAATCATCCTGGACAGAGGAAACCTTAGATAAAAAATTACAGAATTTCTTTGTTGAGATAGCCTGATTAATTTAAATCTATTGCAGGTAAACATTTGAAACATTTAGTCCTTGTAACACAAAACCACATCTAATACGCTGTGCTTATTTATTGTTTGGTAATCATTGTATTAATTGTAATGAGTGGTGCGGTGGCCTAGAGGTGAAGCTCTCGCCTCACAATCAGGAGGTTGTGAGTTTGATCCTAGGTAGAGGCAGATATTTCTCTCTCTGGGTACAATGAGAATATATTTGCTGAACAAAACTCCGCGTTGGTGACAGGAAGGGCATCCGGCCATTAAACACTCAGCTCCACTCAGTTGCCCAGACTCCACTCCGCAAGGGACTATGGGGTCATTAAAAGATGATGATTGTGTTAATTGTAAAAATTCTTCTCTTCTCCTTTTCTAGTGGTAGTATGGAACCTGCTTTCCACAGAGGAGACCTCTTGTTCTTGACAAATTTCCGAGATGACCCCATCAGGGCCGGAGAAATAGTCGTTTTCAAAGTTGAAGGAAGAGATATTCCAATCGTGCACAGAGTGATTAAAGTTCATGAAAAGTAATGATGGTCACACGAAATATAGTTGATAAAATGGTTCAGAGCAGGCCTGTGTTGAGTAACTGAGGGTTTTCAGAGTCACATTCCAAGTTATTGGGTGGCGTTAAGATGAAGAAATGAGCAGAATCACGACAAAAATGAATTATTTATTATTTATTTAGTTTAGGTAACTCTGGGTGGCTTACAATATTAAAAAAATAAAACTATATAAATAAACACTGCCAAATCAGAGGTGGTATTCGGTGGGTTCTGACCAGTTCTGGAGAACCGGTAGCAGAAATTTTGAGTAGTTTGGAGAACCCGTAAATACCGCCTCTGATTGGCTCCTCCCCCATCTCTTCTCTGCCTCCCAAGTCCCAGCTGATTGGCTGGGTCTTCTTGTGTTGCCCTGCACAGGAGAACGGAGCTGGAAAGCAGGTTAGTGGGGTGGGGAGGGAATGGGGATTTTGCAGTAACCTTCCCCTGCCACGCCCACCAAGCCACGCCCACAGAACCAGTAGTAAAAAAAAAAATTGAATCCCACCACTGTGCCAAATACAATAGCTAAAAGATGGGAAGAGAAGATGTAGGATGAGCAGGGATGGGACGCAGGATCTGATATTAATCTATCAGCCGTCTCCAACATGAAGCTCCTCCTTTCGAACCCCAAGCCAACCGATCTTTAGGTTCTTACGGAAGGTCAGGAGAATTGGAGTGGACCTCACCCTGGAGGGCAAGAATGAATGTTGAATTCATCGGAATTTAACCCAAAGGTGCTTTTTTTTCAAGAAGCAACTGGGCTTTCTTGTTTTTTCTTTGAAGACGTTTCGCTTCTCATCCAAGAAGTTGCTTCAGCTCTGACTGGATGATGATGGGGAAATAGAAGGATTAACGGTCTGGATGGTGGGAATTTTAATTCCCCACCATCCACTCAGAGCTGAAGAAGCTTCTTGGATGAAGAAGCAAAACGTCTTCAAAGAAAATCCAGAAAGTCCATTTGACTCTTGAAAAAAAGCACCTTTGGGACAACCATGACCTGGATGAATCTCCATAGACATTGGAATTTAAATTTTAGTAAAGGAAAGTTGATTTGCTGATACGCTTCTGTGTATTTAATTACTCTTTCCTAATCTGGCAGGAACTTTTAAGGAGTGTTAGCATTGCACTTGTGGCTTTTGGGGGGGAATTGGATTTAAAAGAAAATAAAGCACACATTTAGGGGGAATGGGGAAGAAAGCAAGCATTAGCAATTTAAGCATCCGCATTATCTTAACTGCTGTATGGCAGGCTTTTCTGCGTGCTCTTAAATGCCAACTCCCAGTGCCACTTTTAATTTTGTTTTCCTTTCCGTTTTTTTATGGGAGAAGGGCTCTCTGCATCTTGAATACCTGAATCGGTATTTTCCAAGCACTTCTTGTAGTACAAATGTCACATCTGATTTTTCGAGTGGGTTATTGCCCTTGCAACATCGTGACATTTTCAAAAGATTATTTTTATAACGCGACTGTTCAAGCATCGCTCGAGTGATGTGACAGCCTTCAAATGAGACATGTTTAAACCTCTCTGCTCCATACTAGGTGAAAATCAAGACGTTTGGTGGCACCTTTTCTGACTAATCAATTTCGATTAAAAAAAACAAAAACCTTGAGCTTTTGTGGGCTACAGCTTACTTCATCCGATGGATGGGATGGCAAATCTAAAGGTGAAGTAAACTGCAACTCGCAAAAGTTTTCTCCTTTTAATGGAAAGTGTTGGTCTGAAAAAGCACCAGCTAACTCCTGTTTTTTGGTCACTGTAGACCAGGGACCAGCAACCTTAAACACTCAAAGAGGCATCTGGACCCGTTTCCCACAGAAAAGAAAACACCAGGAGCCACAAAACCTTTCCCGTGCCTGACTGTTTCTGAGCTGCCGCAAAACTAGCATATGTAGTTGAATTAAACATTCTGTTTTCTTCTGAAACTTTTCTTTTCTTGGATTTATCCATGGTTGGCCTACCAGGGGTCAAAAAAGCTCAATAAATTGCGTGCTGGCAGGTGTTGCACATTAGCAATTGTGACGCATATTTTGAGCGACAGGGAGCCGCAGGCAGAGGGATGAAAGAGCCACATGTGGCTCCAGAGCTGCCGGTTGCTGACTCCTGCTGTAGAATTTATCCCAACAATTTATTATATAAATATATAATGGATTGCTTGTCCATTTGATGCATTTCTGGATTATAGGTAATGCTAGTTTCCATAATTTAGCTACCTGACTCATTTAGTTTAGAAAATTCTTTGTCAGATCTCTGGAAGCTGAGGTGTGACAACTGAACTCCTTTTTTTGGTTTGAAACGTTTCACTGTTTATCCAAGTAGATACTAGCAAAACTCTTCAAACCCAACAGGAAGCCCAGTTCCCCTGAACTCAACTTCCAGAAATCCCTGTCTGGATGACTGGGAATATCCATTGACAGATCCTAAGCTCTCCCCAAAAGCCAGAGATGGTGAATCTGAGGCCCTCCGGATATTGCTGAACCTCAGCTTTCAGCAGTACCAGCCGGAATGGTGGAAGGAATGCGATCTTGAGATGTAGTTCAGCAACAACTGGAGGTCGAAAGCTTTTCTGCCTATATTGAGCTATTGAAAGCAGTTAGGACCAGTGGTGGGATTCAATTTTTTTTACTACTGGTTCACATGAATACATAAATGCAGGTATATACTGTATTTATGTATGTATATAGCATGTATATATGTGTATTATGTATGTGGGTAGATACAGACTATCTCTTGAGAGCAGGCAACAGATTTTCATTTTTAATGTGTGCTTGCAGTAAAAAAAAAATGACAATAAAGGTTATCTTACATGACCACGCCCAATTTTACTATAGTATCTTGTTTGACGTGGTTGTTAAGTGAACCCGGCAGTTGTTAAATGAATCCAATTTTCTTCACTGGGTAGAAACCAGAAAACTGGAAACCAGCAATAAATAAAATAAATAAATGCCAGAAAACCCGGTCATGTGACTGTGGGACGCTGCAAACATCAATTGAGTTTGTTTGCCAAGAGCCCAAAATGTGATCAAGTGAACATTGGACAACAGTTGGAACTTAGAACATAGGCCGTGAGCAGCTCTGGGGAAGTCCATTGTAACTTTAAACAGTCCCTAAGCAACCAGTCATTAAACAAGGACTACTTGTAGTAAATATAGTATTTACTATAGCATAAACAAGGACTACCTGTAGTAAATATAGTATTTACTGTAGTATAAACAAGGACTACCTGTAGTAAATATAGTATTTAGTATAAA